GTCTTCCAGAAAGCCCCGGGCTGAGGGGGGGGAATGCGGGTGTGTTACGAGCCCCCCAGGCCCTGTCCGGGTACGCGCCCCACACGCCGTGCAGCCCGGAGCCCAGCTGCCTGCTTCGCGCTGAGGCGCTCGGGCTGCCAGACTAGGGGCAGCTAAACCTGCGACCCCGCTGCAGTGTCCGTCCCCCCCTGGCAGCCTAAGGGCCAGGCTGGTCCATGCGCTAGGCCGCCGCACAGGCGCTGCTTGGGATCCTTAAGAACAGCTACACTGGGTCAGAGCAAAGGTCCATCCGCCCAGCGCCTGTCTCCCAACAGAACAGGGAATCATGTGATCCCTCCCCCTTCACCCATCTCCAGACAAACAGAGGCTGGGGACACCGCTCCTACCCATCCTAGCTAATGGCCATTGATGGACCTGACCTCCATGAATCTATCTCGCCCTTTTTTGAACCATGGTGAAGTCCTAGTCTTCACAACATCCTCTGACAAGGAGTTCCACAGGTTGACTGTGCGCTGTGTGAAAAAAAACCCTTCATTTTGTTTGTCTTAAACCTGCTACCTATTAATTTGGTGACCCCAATTCTTATATTATGGAAACAAGTACCAGTAAATAACTTTGTTACTCACTTTTTCTGTACCCATCATGACTTTTATAGACCTCTAGCATATCCTCCCTTAGTCTCCTCTTTTTTAGATGAAAAATTCAAGTCTTTTTAATCTCTCTTTATATGGGACCCATTCCAAATCCCTAATAGTTTTTGTTGCTCATTTCGGAACCTTTTCCAATGCCAATAGATCTTTTTAGAGATGAGGCAATCACATCTGTATGCAGTATTCAAGATGTAAGTGTACCACGGTTTTATAGAGAGGCAATAAGATATTCTCTATCCCTTTTTTAATGATTCCTAACAATCTATGTGCTTTTCTGACTGCCGCTGCACCCTGAGTGGATGTTTTCAGAGAACTACAGTAGACTTCTGATAATCTGGCACCTTTGGGACCTAGGTGGTGCCGTATTATCGGATATGCTGGAGTATTGGGAGGTACTCCAGCGGGGGGCTGTGATGGGTCTGCCAGGACCCGCAGTGCGTCCAGGGGGTGGGCAGGGAATGGCACAGCGAGGGGCGAACGCTCCGCCATTTTGCAGGAAGGCAGGGGAAGCCCCGCGCCGCCGCCAAGAGTTTCCAGGAGGGGAGCATTTGCGCAAGAGGGCTTTTGCCCAAACGGGAGCAGCATAGCATTTCCACAAGAACACTGACAATCTTATATGAGATCGTCAGTGTTCTTGCAGAAATTCAAGGGGCCAGTGTAGACAGTTGATAAGTTTTTTCGCAAAGGCAGTTGCTTTTGTGGAAAAACTTGCCAGTCTAGAAGCAGCCAATGTGCTCTGCTGGAATGGGTGCCTGGCCAGGACAGTATAGTTCATTCTGAGGCTGCAAAGGGGTAAATAAATCTCAAAATACAACTACGCCTTTTTGCAATGAAAAATATTTTTGATATTTCTTTATTGTATTACCAATACCAAATAAGATCACAGAAAAAATACCAAATAAGATCACTTGTAAAAAATTAATGTATTTATTGTTTAAACAGGTCCACTTTTTTTTTCTTTTCTTGATTTACTTCTGGTAAGTTTTGTGGCTGAGGTCTGATGACCTAGCATGCTCAAACATTACAGGTTCTAATAACAGGTTTGTTTGCATCAACTAATCCTAAAATAGCACAGGGGCATTGAAGCAAATGGCAGCTTGACACTGACTGCAAAAGGGAGTCCGACCTTTTACTGTTTATAAGAAAAAAGATGGGTTCTTCTTCCCCACTGTCAATTTGGCATACAATGTGGAATTTGAAAGTCAAGATGGATTCCTTCTATCTTGCTCATGACCTTCACAATCCTAGTTCATTTGAGTGGTATTTATGGGTTTAGTTAGGGCTATAGTTGAGGAGATGCCTCTATTAGGGATGTTAAATGGCATTTAATCAGCTAATCAATAGAATTTTCATCAACTAGTCAATTAGTTGATGGGGGGAGGGGTAGAGCTACAGTGGAGTTAGTTCGCAACCCCGGGAGCTAACCCTGCTGTGGCTCTGCCTTTTAAATGTATTAAGAGCCATCTAGCTCTTAATACATTTAAAAAGCACAAGAACCAGCTTTTAAGCCAGTTTGCCCAGCATCGGCTCCTACTCCACCCCCTTGGTGCCTCTCTCTGAAAGAGAGGTGGGGGGGAAGAAGAGAAGGGAGTGACCAGTTGAGTCACTAGCCAACTATCAGATAAGCATGTGTTTATTGGATAGTCACATAGTGGTTAGGGATGTATCAAGGCAAAGGGTTCTAAAATTGAAATTTAATTAATATGTCTGCTAATGGTTCACAAAACAGACTAGAATCCAACTCATGTCTTTGGAACTGTACTAGCAGGATAAGAGAAGCTTGAAGGTGCCATTTTTAGAGTCATCATTCTATTATTGTAGGCCCAAACTTTGAGAGCATCCTCTCAAAAGAGTCTCATTTGCGGTCTGCCTGCACACCTGGACACATACGCCGCACCAGAAAAGGCAAGGAACAAAAAAGGGAGGGCCCTCTGCGAATGAAAGACCACAAAAATCTTGAGTATCACTACATCTTCTGAATATATACAAGAAAGTTGCACATTTGGATGTGAAACGTATTGAGACATCAACATATTATACTTTAATACATTGAACCAGAAGTGGGCATGTGGCTTATGGTCCTATTCTTCATTAAGAAGAATTGTATGCGCAATCAACACAGAATATTAAAAAGCCTTTCAGATGCTCCATCATGTACAGCTCTAGACCTTCATACTGGTGTCCCCTTAGCTTTTTTCTGATTTTTAAAGTAGTCGTTTGTGAAGATGATGATTTTCTCCAGATCAATCAGTGGTTCCTGTGTGTCAAGTTTTCCTTCCTTCTGCCTTTGTGCAAGGATCATGGCACGGAGAAGGGGGGGATATGGCACATACTGAATGATTTCCACTGACACTGGAGTAAATTTCTTGAAGCACTCCTCTTCATGTTTGGGCACCATCCGCCAGTCATGATACATCACCTTGTCAATCTCTTTCACTTCATTATATGTCTTGCCTAAGGAAAGATGATGAACAAGTAAACAATACTATGAACAAACTCCATAATGAGGACTATGCCACTGCATTATCTCCAATGCCTCAGCTCGGCATAGTACTGGATATTTTATGGGAGTTGTATCTACTACAGCAGTGGTCCCCAACCTTTTTGGGTGGTGGGTGCCGCGCGTGAAGCAGGCGCCCGGTGTGGGGCCGTGCATGCGCCGGGCACCTGGGGGTGGCGCTAGGCAGGCACACATAAATGCCCCAGTGGGCACCACATTGGGGACCCCTGTACTACAGTACGCACTCCCACTACAAGTTGTATAGCAGATAACACAGGCAACTGACAGAACATCTGGATTATAGTCCTGACACTGCTCTTGATCACTTGTTAGCTTGACCAAGTCATTTCGCCTCTCTTATTCAGTTTCCACAACTCTATACTTTACAGGGATGTTGGGGAGTTTAATTCATTAATATTTATAAAACACTTCAGATGGAAGAGAACCGATTTGTCGGACTCCATTTCCTTGCCAACACAGATTGTCCACTATGACAGAGTCTCTAGGGATTCCTTCAAGTTACTTTTGTAATTTAAAACGAATTGGACTTTTACTATTTTCCTTGTGAAATAATTCTACAGTGGACTAAATCAAACTGTTAGGAAGTTTTCTTTTCTTGCTTTCATTTTATTAGGTTGGGTGAGTGAAAAAGGGGAGCTACCAGTGGAGGCGGATTGCCGAGTGACAAGAAAACCAACTTTTTCCTCCTGAATAATCCAATTATCTGTAGGAGAGAATGCAGGAAGAAGCCCAGCAGCAGAGTGGGGCAATCCTGTTTATTGCACCCAGTGTAATTATCATTACCTGCCCTATGGATGGGTGGGGCATGTGTGCATTCGGTGAAAGGAGCTCCTGGCCCTCAAAGACCACGTGCTTTGGAGGCCAGGGTGGATGAATTGGAGGAGCTAAGGAAGGCACAGAGGTACGCAGATGAGGCTTTCCATCTCTAGTCAGACAGCCCCTGTGCTGTTAAGGAGGTTGAAAGGCTCAGGGAAGGAGAACAGTCAACTGGTGCAGAGGGAAATAATCCCATAGTTGGAATCTTCCTTCCAGATGATGTTATGGTATCCTCTTGCACTGAGGATACCTCTCCAGGGGAGGGAACTTCAGTCATTAGGAAAAGGCAGGTGCTAGTAATGGGGGATTCAGTCATTAGAAACTAGGGCTTATCAAGCAATTAAAAAAATGTAATCACGATTAAATGTGCGCCTCCCCTTTGAAACGCAGCCGCGGCCTTTCAACAGGGTAGCGCTGCATGGAACCCGGGATAAGCTAGAATCCCCCGCTGAGCCCGGGCTCCTAATGTGCTGCATCTTTGAAGCGCCGGGGCAGAGTTTCCAAGGGGCAGCACAAGGCAGAGGCCGGGGTCAGCTGGAGTCCCCAGCTGATCTTGGGCTCCATGTTGCACTGCCCCTTGGAAACACCACCCCAGCGCCTCAAAGGGGCAGCACATTAGGAGCTCAGGATCAGCTGCAGTGTCCAGCTGATCCCCAGCTCCACATTGTGCTGCCCCTTTGAAGCACCAGCAGCGCCACATGGAGCCGGGGATTAGCTGGGCCCTCCAGCTGATCCCCGGTTGGGAAGTTAAAGACTAGTCGACCCCCCACCACTTCCCTTTGCTGCCTCTAGAGGCAGCAAAAGGAGGGGGGGGGAGTACTTCAAAGGCGGCATTTCAAAGGGGCATCCATGGAGCCCTGGGTCAGCTGGGAACTCCCCGGAACCCGCGTGTTTCAAAGGGGCAGTGGAGCCCGGGGTCAGCTGGGAGTCCTCACTTGATCCCATGCTCCATGTTGCGCTGCCCCTTTGAAGCGCTGCAGCGGCACTTCATCACATTAATCGCAGGCATTAATGAATGTCAATTGACAGCCCTATTAGAAACAGAGAGAGCTGGGTTTGTGATGACCGGGAGAACCGTATGGTGACTTGCGAAGGTTGCGGATCTCTCAAGACATCTAGATAGACTTATATGTAGAGCTTGGGAGGAGCTGGTGGTCATGATACATGTAGGTACCAATGACAGAGAAGGGTAGGAGAGAGGTTCTAGAGGCCAAATTTAGGCTGCTAGGAAAGAGATTGAAATCCAGGAGCTGTATGGTAGCGTTCTCTGAAATGCTTCCAGTTCCACACGCAGGACTAGGTAGGCAGGCAGAGCTTCAGATGCTCAATGCGTGGATGAGATGATGGTGTAGAGAGGAAGGGTTTAGATTTATTAGGAACTGGGGAAACTTTTGGGATAGGGGGAGCCTCCACAGGAAGGATGGACTCCACCTAAACCAAAATGGAACCAGACTGCTGGCACTTAATGTTAAAAAGGTTGTAGAGCAGTTTTTAAACTAAGGGGTGGAGGAGCACATGAATCAGACAGGGGGAGGGTCTATTAATAAAGGGAGGGTCTATTAATAAAGATTCTCTATGTTCTAGTCAGGAATACAGGATGGAAGTATAGGTCAGATCAGATGAGGCAAAGAGTCTAACATAGCAGGAAATACTTAAAAAACAACAAATAACCTAGCAGCACCTTAAAGACTAACAAAAGATGTAGATGGTATCATGAGCTTTCGTGGGCATAGAAGAACCAGTGGGACCCTTGGATGATCGAGATGCTAAAGGAATACTCAAAGATTATAAAGTCATTTCAGAGAAGCTAAATTAATTCTTTGCTTCAGTCTTCATGGCTGAGGTTATTAGGAAGATCCCCAAACCTGAGCCATTCTTTTTAGGTGACAAATCTGAGGAATTATCCCAGACTGAGGTGTCAGAGAGGTTTTCGAACAAATTGATAAACTTAACAGTAACTGGGACTAAATGGCATTCACCCAAGAATTCTGAAAGAATTCAAATGTGAAATTGCAGAACTATTAACTATGGTTTGTAGCCTATCCTTTAAATTGGCTTCTGTACCTAATGACTAGAAAATAGTTAATGTGATGCCAATATTTAAAAAGGGCTCTAGCACTGATCCTGGCAATTACAGACTGGTAAATCTAACATCAGTACTGGGCAAATTAGTTGAAACTATAATAAAGAATGAAATTGCCAGACACATAGATGAACATAATTTGTTGGGAAAAAGTCAAGATGGTTTCTGTAAAGGGAAATTGTGCCTTACTAATCTACTAGAGTTCTTTGAGGGGGTCAACAAATATGTGGAGAAGGGGGATCCAGTGGATATAGTAGACTGATTTCCAGAAAGCCTTTGACAAAGTCTTTCACCAAAGTCTCTTAAGTAAAGTAAAAGTTGCTATAGAGTAAGAGGGAAGGTCCTTCCATGGACTGATAACTGGTTTAAAAGACAAGAAACAAAGGGCAGGAATAAATGATAAGTTTTCAGAGTGGAGAGAGGTAGTCCTGGGACCCATCCTATTCAACTTAGTTATAAATGATCTAGAGAAAGGGATAAACAGTGAGGTGGCAAAACGTGCAGATGATACCAAACTGCTTTAAAAAACGGTTAAAAAAAAAGCTAGATAGCCATTGATGGACCTAACCTCCATGAAAGCTAGCTAGGAAGGGTAGAAAAGGTATCATGTGATAATTACCTGTTCTGTTCCCTCCCTCTGGGGTATCTGGTATTGGCCACTGTTGGCAGATAGGATACTGGGCTAAATGGACCTTGTGTCTGACCCAGTTTGGCCGTTATGTTGGCCCCTAGCCCTATACGCTAACTTTTGTCTCTAATCCTGCTTGTGAGGCATGCATCAAGCTCTATTTACCTCTGAATGTTAGGTATCCCCAGGCTTTCCCATGATCCAAGTTCTGCAAAGAAAAAACAAAACAAAAATGTGCTCAGTTCACTTAAAGAACCAATGCTATTCACAAGGAGAAACTCCTTTTATAGTCTTACTACTCATGATCCACAAAAAGTGAGTTGACTTCAATAACTGCTAATTGTGGCTACTAGTGTTCTTCTAGAATACTGAACAAATGCCATTATACCACCTGTGCAATTAACGTTGTGATAAATAATGCAGTATAATTTGTCTGAGTACTATATACTGTCTGCTCTCAGTTCTATAATGACTCAATACAAATACAGGTCCCCCACTAAGGCCCAGATCCTTACGTACGTGCATAATCTACAGCACACACACTACTAATGAGTGTGTCTCGGGACGTTCCCGTGGTGTCTGCAGTGCTCAAGCACTATCCTAGTCTCTCTGATTTTCATTACACGGTGCCTCCTCTGAGGCAATCCGTGCTCTGGTGCTTCCCGGGCGCACACGAGAAGAGGGTCGGGAGTCTGGCTCCGGGGCCAGGCAGCGAGACTGTGAACGCTGCGGAGGCGGTTGAATCGGGCGCGACGGTGACTGGGGAGCCAGCTCCCGGGCAGGGCCGCGCGCCCCGGGCCGGCGCTCACCTCGGCGGTGTAGTCCACCCGGACCCTGGTGATGAGCCAGTAGCAGGGCTCCTCGTACTGCCAGAGCCAGGCCTTGCGGGTGACCACGCGGCCCAGGCCGAAGAGCGGCCGCTGGCAGAGCAGCGCGAAGAGGCGGCTCTCGCGCCTCGCGTCCTCCCAGGCCAGCACGGGCAGGCGCTTGCCGGTGAAGGGCCGGGCCATGGTCTCGTAATCCAGGGCGAAGCGCTGCGAGTCGCGGGGGCGGGCCCCCCC